TGTTCAGTATTAATTTATTGGTGTTTGTACTGTTTCAAATTCATGCACATTGAGTTGATATCAGGAGATGAAAGTACATGATTTTGATATGTTTATTTCATTAATTATTTAGGCACAGCAAATATATGGTGCACAAGATGTCGAAGAATTGAGTCGTCAAGAAAAAGATTCAGATGAAAAAGTATGTTCTCTTCCCTTATCCTTTTTTTTAGGTTTAATGAACTGTTTGATTGCCGAATCGCATCGTGTCCAGTGATTTCGACGAACGACATTTCGCCTTATGCGCGTCCCGGAATATTTGCTGTGAGCATTCTGGAGTTATCTAAATTATTCGACCCTATTTTCGGAAGTTCTCGGGGTTGCTTACTCCGAAATCTAGCTGCAGAATATTTGAGCACTAAACATTGTTTATTTTCTTGCTTTTGTTGGGCATGGATTGTGTGTGATTCCTTTGGCTTTCGATTGCATACAATTTGTCCCGAAAGTTTATGATCTTTCCCTATGAAGCTGGCGCTTATGACTAGGCTCAGGTTGATGCTTGGGCTGAGGCTAAGGTTCCCCTCAAGACAGCGGCCAATCCTCTTGTAAAGCCGTGGCTAATCACGAAGAGGTGCTTCCTTTCTGAACTTTGCGGTTTGAGGGTGGTTTGCTCTTTAAAAGAAGGTTCCAAATGATCGGATCTCACAACAATGACCTGCATATGGTAAGGCCGTGATAGCTTTGGAACGGACACTCTGGAAATCACTGCCTGTCCGCCAAAGTAGAGTTGAAGGACTCGAAGAATTCGTTAATGCAAAAGCATAATAATACTGCGTGCCGTCAGAGTCCTGTCATTCAATCCTGACCGTTCTACATCATTCATATTCCTTAGAGTAATCCATGGCTGCTCAATGCAACAATGTTCAAATTTGTTTGTATTCATCAATCTCTTTTTTTAACATTACATGTCCAGTCCGCGCACGCATAACACAAAGTCGATACCATCAGACCAGCAATCCACTGGAAGCTACTGCAATTAATTGTCTTCAGAGACAGAACAAACTTCATGTGGTGTTTACTAGAAAGCTCAGAACATAGGGATCTTACACACTCTGAAATGTTGAAATCATAATGATAGTATCTGGAATATCATCANAGAAAGCTCAGAACATAGGGATCTTACACACTCTGAAATGTTGAAATCATAATGATAGTATCTGGAATATCATCATTCTTCCGCGATTCAAGACACCTGCTTCAACTCTTTTACATGGGATTTATCTTTTCTTAATGCCAAACTATACTCACTTTACGGAGCTTCCAATCGAGATTTGAAGTAATCGACTAGTAGTCTCTCGTTGTTGAGTCAGAGCTATCTATTACTGACAAGCATGCAGTGAGTTGAGTTTTCTTTTCAGAAACATTATCGAGGCACTGCGATGCTCATTTTAATGCTGATTTTTCAGCTGATACAAGAAGAGGGCCCAACATGCAGTCACACAGCGGACGCCCATATTGCACCCATTTCTGGTGAGGCTGTAAGCAGTCGCGAATGCGACAATCACATTGATACAAAGGACCTACTCAAGGAAGCGGAGCGGAAGTTTAGAAGAGAAAGGGATCGAGTTGTGGATCAAGTTAAGGGTGAATGGAGAAGATTCACCAGGAGATTTTGATGCATGTTTTCTCAATGGAAGAGGAATTTAATTGATAAAAAAGTGAATAATTTATGTATCCTTATATAATACAATGCTCTTGTCTTGGTAATATGGATTTGCATGCTCTTTAAAAGAATAAATCTCCCCACTACTTATAGATAGATAGCTCCAATATTAATTTCGAGATCAAATAGTGTATCGGAACCGAGTAGTTAACTGTTTTTGCTTGCAATTTTACTTGAATGTGTTCAAAATATCGACACTAGCCAATCCGAATGATGTCCAAATTGTTCAT